AGCCATAAATTTACATCCAAAATATTTTGATTTGGGCATGAAATGACCCATAGGATGTTGATATGCCGTTAAACAAAATCAACCAAAACAAACCAAACTCAGAATATCAACAAAACAATAGTAAAATGAAACAGTCAAAATGAAGAATATGAAGAAATTGAGATTCAGACACATCATGATTATTATGATCGACTTATTGCTATTATTTCTGTTTTGCTGTTATTAATCAGTTATTACCATTAGCATTATTATTGAGTCATTACTGTTATTGTTGTTTTTGTTATTGCTGAGTTATTATTATCACTGAGGTATTACTGAAAAAATTGTTGATTTTTTTAGTTATTATTATTATTATTATTATTATTATTATTTGGCTTTCTTTAATCTTCAACTTGTGGTCAGCTAACACGGCTACGTTCAACATCTGTCAAGGTCCATTTTCTATGACTATTGAATCCGATTTTTTTTTGTGATGTGTTTGTTAACATGACTGTCTTTAACGAAGATAGCATTGTTGTTTAGTTTTTCTTTCAAACGCCATTTCTTTAGATAACTGAATGTAATATATTTGCATAGTTCCAAATTAATTGCTATTCCCACTCAATCGTGGACCATTATTATTATTATTATTAACAAAAATGATTGGCGTAACTCTTGCAATATTTTCAGCGCTTTGACAAGAGTGCGATTTAAGAAAAGAAACAATGTTTAATAATGTCAGTCTTCTACGAATTATGTTTAAAAATCGCATACAAATATAAAAACAAATATTTAAGTCTTTTTACAAACGTCGCTTGTCTTGAACGAAATGGTTATGCTGTTAATGAACGCGACAAAACGAATGAAACGCAACCAGCGTGAATGGAATGCAATCCAAACGTCAGTAACATAACAGGGAGCGTGCTTATGTCGAAATTTTCCGTTCGTTGATTAATTAGTAAGAGCAATTAACCAACCAGTTTAGTATCATTGTCATGGAACCCTCCTGTCATTATTATTATTATTATTATTATTATTATTATTATTATTATTATTATTTATTATAATTATTATTATTAGTAGTAGTAGTAGGAGTAGTAGTAATATTTTTTTCTATAGCTATACTGCATTGAACGTATTTCAAATATTTAAACTTACCGCAACTGCCCAAATGTTTACCATTCTAGAAGGATTTTTATTGACGCAGTTTCGATGGCATCGTTCAATGCAGAAATTTCTGATATTGAAAAAGGAGTCTATATGCACAGGCCACACAGCCAAATGTATACGATATAATCACAGGTTTTGATAAAAGCAGCACATAACCTTGCAGGTGGGGCCCAGTAAGAAATACTTTCTGGTCGCATAAACCAGACCGTTCAAAGAGGGTTCCCATTTATCTAGATATGAGCCCCAACTGACCGAACATTTACTAATCTGAGAGGACTTTTATTTACGCCGTTTTGATAGCATCGATTTGCCCTGGAAGACCCTGCCATGACAAGCGAACCAAAAGTTGAAGTTTGCCTCTTCTTTTCTTTGTATGTGTCATGTCTTTTCAAGACGTGGTCGACTATGGTTCTCCAGCTCCCTCTATCCCTTGCAGCTCTCAGCAAACTCCTTCCCTCTGCTTCCTCTCCCAGACCACGTTCTGTCATCCAACTGCTCAAGCTTGTCAGATATGTCACACGCTGCTTTCCTTTGTCTCTCTTTCCCTCTATTTGACCCGTGTGTATCAGATTCTCCAGGCTCTCCTTTCTCATTATGTGTCCCAGGAACTTCAGCTGCCTCTTTCTGATGTTAAATATAAGCCCTCTTCTTGTTTGTAACCTATCTAAGATCTCATCGTTGCTCACATGCTCGATCCATGATGTCCTTAGAAACGTCTCTAAAATTAAATTCTTTTGCTAATGAGAAAGATTGTCTTTATTTTCACTTTCTTTCTTTTTTTTTTTTTTTTTTCTGTTTGCTACATTCATTTTCCATCGAGTAATTTCGTATTTTGTGCGTCTTTTCTATCGACTAAATTTCGTTGATAAGGAATTAATATAAAGAATTGGACTTAAAATTGAATAGTCCTTAAAACAAAATCTAGAATCGAACGTTGCCTATTGTCGAGGGTGTTAAAATATTGATTAAAGAATAAATGAGAAACGAAAAAGACAAAAAGAATTTTCATGTAACTGTCTTTCTGTCTAAATGATTTTATTTTTATTTTCTCAAATGTTCGATGGAGATGTCATTCATTTGTTTTCTACTGAAGATCGCCTTTTCTTGATGAAGACCCAATGTCATAATCACGGAAGGAAAGTGGACATTTGGAAAGAAAATAAAGAATTCAATAGATTGTTATAAGGCAAAATAAGTCTTGATTAAGGAACAAAAGAGGAAGAATGGGGAGGGGGACGAAAGACCTACGATGAAATTTGTCTTTTTTTATTTTTTCTGGATATTATTTTATGTGTGCAATCTATTGATTCAGTCATGTGGAATTTAGATTCGTTTCGCTTGTCACGTAAGGCTGTTGACGCCTTGAATTCATGGCGAAAAGTGAATGGGGAAATATTTAATCCGACTATAAAATGATGACTTGAGAAAAAAAGAGAGTCAAAAATTAACAGACGAAAATTTCTTTTGCTTGTTACTTCATTGTTTATTTGCTTTCGTTTTAGGATGACTCGTTTTATCATATATTCGTTCACTTTCAAAATTATTATTATTACTATTAATGTTATTATTATTATTATTATTATTATTATTATTATTATTACTATAATAATAATAATTATTATTATTCCGTCTTAGGTATGACGATAAACTACATCCGCGTCCTGGGTAAGACGATAAAAAAGGTCCAACAGCAAGGCCTCTGATTAGGAGGTTTTGAGGATCGTGGAACCACTTCTTAATTGCTGGCGTTCCCAGGGCCACCCTGACCCGGGGTGGTAGCACCTGTTAGGGTCCCAGCTATGGGCAAAGAGTTGACACCGAAACTTTTGTAAAAATAGGTTTTATTACCATAAATACTTTGTAATAAAAAAAAATTATACCAGCAATAATTTTTGAAGGAAAAATTATTATCAGCAATAATTTTTAAAAAAGTACCAGCAATACAAACAGCTATACATTATTTAAAAAAATATTACCAGCTATAGATTTCTTCATGGAAAAATATTCACAGAAATAGATTTTTGAAGAAAAAGATATTACCAGCAATAAAAATTTTGTCGGCATTAAATAACCGATTGTGGTTGATATGCCGTAAAACAAACCAAACCAAATTATTATTATTATTATTATTATTATTATTATTATTATTATTGTTGTTGTTGTTCTTGTTGTATTGTGTCGTGTTGTTCTACGACACGTGATCAGTAGTCAACTTCTTGCCTTTCTCTTAGTTTTCTATCCACTTTATATCTACTTAGCATATGCAAATACGTACAATCCTATTTACCAATATACTACACCTCCCTGAACCGAAGTGATTGATCTGTTGTCTTTGTTTTTTCTCGAATTTCTTCTACGACTTCTTTCCTCCTCTCACCCCGCCCCCACTTGATATTAATGTCTTGTTCTTTTTCATGTAGATCTTGGTGATATTTCACCCTTTTCCATGTCTGAGTAAGCCACATAATCATCCATAGACTTTTCTTCAATTGCATTGTCCTGAACTGAAGAACTCATCCTTTCTTCTCTGTCAAAGTCTTCTTCCATCACTCCGTCTTCCTCTTCAATTCTGGGTCCCATTTGGTCAGAATGGGTCATTCGTTTTTTTTTTCCTTTATTAGATATAAGGGCTGTGTTATGTCCCCTTTACATGATGGAATTAGCCCTCTCTCTCTCTCTCTCTCTCTCACACACACACACACACACACACACACACACACACAGGGCTTGCTACTTTGTCTTTCATTTTTTAGCCCTAGCCTGGACTGCAAAAAAAAAACTGAATACAAATCTCGACACATTCTGTTTCATCCGCGCGACTTAAACATCCAATCGGCGACGCCCTATTGTTGTGTTATGTTGTTCTAACATATCCAGTCATTAAATTCCGTCTGGTTCTTTGTTCCCACTTTATATATCTTCTAATTAGCAAATAGGTACGATCCTTACCTTATTTACATTATTCAAACTGTTATCCTCATCTTCATTGCTATATTCACAACATTTCGACCGCTCTTCAGGTGATTCAAGGACACATGGCCCAGTGGATAAAGGCGTCGGTTATATCCAGTGACTAGGCCCAAAGAATTGTGAGTTCACTATCAGGCTACAGCAGTGGTGAACCAAAACTTGGAGAGTTGAGTTTAAGGAAAATAACTGAGACATCCGGAAGAGGTACGGCATGTGGAGCTAGAACGACCTACCCGGGTGGACGAAATAAAGGGTTCGGTTCGAAATTCCAATTATATGAAGAAGACTGGAGCGTACAACTGTCGAAACGTTGTGAATATGGCAATGAAGATGAGGTTAACAGTTCGAATAATGTAAATTATGTAAGTAATCATAATACCTCATCTCAGCGATATAGACAGGTACAATGCTATTTACTAATCAATTATTATTATTATTATTATTATTATACAAGCATTCCCTCTCAGTTTCATGATCTTTTTTTTTCTTTTTTTTTTTGTCGTATAAATTTTTCTAGTTGTAGTCTTAATCATCTACTTTCTTTCTTTGTTTTTTCTTTCTTTTGTTCTTTCCTTTTTTATTTGTTTAGTTGACGGCCATTTTGTTTTCTCTCCGGTGTTTTTCTTTCATTTTCTTCCGTACTTTAAGCATCAATTCTATTTATCTATATCTACCCCGTTTTACGACTTACTATTTCTTTCTTCTTCTACCTCGGTTTTCTGCTTTTGCATTGTCTTTCTACTTCTACGTCGATTTTCTACGTCATTTTCGGTTTCATACCTGTACCTCGTTTCTCTTCGACTCCATCCTTGCTTCTCAACTTCGGCTTCTACCTACTTTAGCTTCGTATTTCTACTCCTACCTCGTTTTTTGTTGTTTTTTTTTTAAAATCTACTTCGGTTCCATGCTTTATTTATTTAGTTGCCTCTCTGTCTTTTCAAACTTTTTCTTCATCTGAGGTAAAGTTATCCAGCATTTATTGTCATACTGAAAATTAATTATGACATAGCAGTCCAGTAAACTTTTCTTTTAGTCTAACGATATTTTCTCATGTCTTAACAGTTTGCTTAGTTTCGAAAAGGCAACTTTCGCTATTCAAATGCGCCTTCAGATTAATATGTCACATTTTCTGTAGTTTTTACAGCACAATTCAGTGGTGCAGGACAACTCAATACCGCCGACACAACACCACCAAGTCAACACCGCCGACTCAACACCACCAACTGAAGGCCCGGACAACTGAAGACCGAGACAACTCGCTATTTAACAACCTCCTCACAAGGCAAGATGTGGCACAAGGCCAGCTTTTTAACGTCGAACGTCCCGAGCCCGTAGACCTCGTATACACGGGGTCAGGTTTGTCTACTTCTCCAAACGAAACTCTGCACTTCGGCTTAGCCACGTGTGGATTCCTCTCCGCCTGGAGTTAGAGAGTTCGACAAGAGAGGAAGAGGAATAGAAACTCTAGACCACTCAGCATCAGAAGAAACAACATTTTTATAACCGAATGACACTAATGTATTAAGGATTAAAACCTTAATTAGTGAATATTTATCTTCAAATAAGGCCTTTGAAAAGGCAAAAGGCATTATGTAAAATATGAACTACTTTTTTTTGTTTTTAATTATTTTGAATAAAGTAAATCGTAAAGAAATTTATTTTTTAATAAAGTAAATTCATATATAAAATGTAATTCAATAAGACACACTTGTTTTTTTAATTATTAAGTCGAAAAATGCCAAACAACAAAATGAAGCAATTTTTTTTTGTTCTTAATTATTTTAATAAATAAATCATAATATAATTTAATTTTTAATCGACATTCTAAAATACTTGTATGAAAAGTAATTTATGATTTATTTTATCTAAACTTACTTTGTTTTGATGTCAGGAACCCGCTTCTAAAGTTGGTAAAATTATTTTTGATACACCCTCTGATACATAAGCTGAATTTAAGCAGCAACTTACTCGGGCGGATATAATGAATTAACTTTGAAAAGTTAATTCTGACATAAAACAACTTTAGCCATTTTTCAAAAGATGATTGTTATCAGTTTAATTTTTTTTTTAACGTCACATTTGTGACCTTTGCCCCTTACGCTTAATTCCTCTAACAATTGCAGCTTCTTTTTGCTCGATTATGTGCCATAGCACTTTTGTATTGTTAAGAATTTGTTTGATTTCATGTCGTGGTTTTCTTTGTGTCGTTTGAATATATATATTTTTAATAAAGCTATTGTCAACTAAGTTAAACGCACCTAATTCATATAATTCATACATACATATATGTGTGTATATATATATATATATATATATATATATATATATATATATATATATATATAGCGTGCGATGGATAAATTGTCGTCTAAATTACTCAATAGTAATAAATAATACCGGTATCTCATTTTAACAGATATACTTATAAAACTTAACATAAAAATATCTGGAAATACTAAAGAGTAAATTTAGTCAATATGATCGCCATTGACATCAACCACAGCCTCTAGATGACTTCGGAATCACCAGCGACTTTTCTGGATGGTCTCCTTGTTTAAGTTGGTGAATGCTGCCATAATCCTTGCCTCCATTTCATTTTTGGTGTTACAGTGAGTTTTGTTGGTCTATTGCACAATGGCGTCTCACACATAACAATCAAAGGAAGTTGCAGTCTGACGAGTTAGGTGGCCAGATGTAAGGGGTGATGTGATTGCATAAATTTCTGAAAGCCATCAATGGGTTCTCCTGCTTGTGTGATCTGGTACAGAGTTCTATTACCAGACATGGGATCCTTCATCAGCCACCCTCTTGAACCAGGGTAGCACTACCTCCTCACGGCACTTGATATTGGCCTCCATATTGAGACTGGGACCTTGTGGGGAGATAAATGGAGGCATGACGCCGCCATCACTATATAACTCCAAACACCTTCGTAATCACCATTAGAATCATTTTTTTCCGAATCCTATGCACTGTCCTCAGACACTCTGAAATGCTCGCATTAGAGCTTCCGGTGCGAATGCCAAGCAGTGCAGCATGCCGTTTCCAAATTTCTGGAGGAGTGATTTGCGTCATGCTGCTATTTTTCTTACAGATGGTGCCTAACTGACTCTACTATATACTGCAGTCGACGAAAGCCAATAAAAACAATGCGCATGCGCGAAATTAAATATATAAAATGGTGACAATTTACACATGGCACCATATATATATATATATATATATATATATATATATATATATATATATATATATATATAATGTTTTGGTATTCTGGAATTTGGATTTTTTCATCAAGAATCTCATTGATTAAGTGGAATCCTGATACTCGAACTTCTTGTTCTTTTTTTGGGTGGTGTTAGATTTCTCTGGAATTAGCTCAACTGTCATTTCTGTCAGACGGGTAAAAGCGAACGTGGCGCGCTGAGATTTTTCACGATTTGAGCTAAAATTTATCAAATTTCTTCTACTTTTTCTTTTACTTGTTTTTTTCTTGTTTTTCTTTTTCTTATTTCTACATAATTTTTGCTATTAAGCATTTTCCTTCTTACGGCTTTGCTTCTTCTTCTTCTTCTTCTTCTTCTTCTTCTTCTTCTTCTTTTTCTTCTTCTTTTTATCCCTCTTTCAATTCTGTGTCTCTTTTCGTTCTTCTTCTTCCTCTTCTGCTTCTTCTTCTTCTTGACATACGGACATATCTCGTTGAAACATCGGTTCCAGTATGATCACCGAAGTTAAGAAACGTCGAGACGGGTCAGTACCTAGACGGGTGACTTCTTGGGAATACCAAGTGCTATAAGGATGGATGTGCTGGTTGTCTAATGAATAATGGCTTGGAATTGTTAATGTTGGGTTCTTTATATTCAATTACGAACAAATAGCCGTGGGAAAAGTAGGAATCCAACTCTTCTCCCTCTCTATGGGTTAATTAGTAAAACTTAACCATGACTTAACAATTATTATCTCCCAAAATATTCTTACATTCTAAAAATATTTTCACATTTCTTGCAATGCGGTGATAAAACGCAAAAAAACGAATCAATCAACACGTTCTTGATTTTCTGATGTTTTTTTGTTTATAACATTTTTCGATCATCAACTTAATAATCATCTTTTTTGCTTTAATTTACTGCAAGCATTATTATCATTATTATTATCACTTCTTCTTCTGCACCTGCTTCTTCTGATATTATTACTACAACGATTACTAACTCGTTCTTATCGGAGGTCAATTAAAATGCGCGACCTTGGTTTCGTCCTAACGATCCCTTCGGGCGATATGTTTGAAAAATACCGACTTCCTTTCTATTACAATCAATGTCCTGTTTTTTGTTCATTATGCACCGATTAATTTATTCTTGAAAAATAATTATGCAACGTTCTTTGTGTTTATTTTGTTTTTTTGTTTTTTAAATAAAACGTTAAGGTGGTCATTTAAAAAAAATATCGCCCGAAGAGACCGACAGGTCAAAACCAAGATCACGTATTTTAATTGAACTCCTGATTTTTAAAGTTAAAAGCTCTACATGTTATTTTTACTTTTATTTATATATTTTTTCACACGTGTATTGAGCACTATTTAATACTACTGATTTCTGGTCTGATTTAACTCTTACCATTAACCTTATATATATATATATATATATATATATATATATATATATAATCATCCAGACATAGGCTGCTTCGCTGTATCACGGCTCATCAGTGTGACTAGACATGAAATTGCTTCGAGCCGGGATCAAAACCCAACCGATTTCATAACAGTCGGAGACTCTCACCCTTAGCGTACGCTACTGAGAAAAGGAATTTTTAATGCATTATATACGGGATATAAGTATTATCGACTAACAGTGTTCAAATCATAACAAAAGAACTTTTAGCATTAATCAGTAATAGACGACAAATTCTCTTTCTTCCAAAGTGCTCAACCTTCAAAAAAGAGCATATAAACGGTGTAAGAGCAAAATTGTTCAAATCGTGTAACAGCATAATTGTTCACCCGACAAAATGTTTAATATCTTAAAAAACACTAAAATAATTGACTTTCTTTTTTCCTGGTTTTCAGATAAGATGTTTAGCTGTATTGTTACCTTCTCGTCGTCAGAATCACTGAAAAACTCATTGAGTTATTCAGTTAGAAATAGAACAAATTCAAATCACTTTGTGTAAGCCCCACTGTCTTCCCACATGAGCAATGGTGAGAGGAAAAAGATCACTGAGGCCATCAGTAATGGTATCAATATTCATACTTTGGCTTCTACCTTCAAATCAATTAAAGAATCATCCAGAGAACGGTGAATAATTTTTATAAAAAGGGGACAGTAGATAGGAAAACGGAATCAGGAGGTCACAACAGGAAGAAGAATCACTATTTCAACTTAGAGCTAATTAGAAAAGATCCAACTCAATCCATAAGACCTTTGTCACGTGAGAGAGGAGTTTCAGATATGATAGTCTAAAGAGCAGTGCAAAAAGATTGAAAATGAAATAGTACATGAAACCTGTGTAGCATCTTGTTACTCCAGGACAGAAAGTTTGAAAGGTAGAGAAAGCGAAGATCATCATTAATAAGTTGGAAAATGATCCTGAAGTAATATATATATATATATATATATATATATATGTGTGTGTGTGTGTGTGTGTGTGTTCGTGCGTGCGTGTGTGTGTTGGCGAATTCCAGTAAGATATCTTTAATCATATCTAAGATACAACAGTTCAAAAGATTAATATAACAAATTTTACTGTTATATCTGATGTATGTATATATATATATATATATATATATATTTTATATATATATATATATATATATATATATATATATGGTTATATTGAGGTAAGAAGTAGTTATCCAAACATTTTTGTTTAAGAAAAGCGATAAGGTCTGTGTGTGACGTCGTCCCCTGGTCGCAGCACCAACTGTGACGTTCTATCCTGGTCTACCACGGCACCAACTGTGACGTCCCTAAACAGCACCAATTGTGACGTCCTCGCCGCGGCGCAAGCTGTTCTCTCCTCGCTGCTCCGTTCGGGTGTCGCTGCTCCAAACGTGACGTCCGCCTGTCGCGTCAGTCGTGTTGTCTCGTCCTGTGACGACCAACTGGCTTAGTATCGGTCGCAGCACCCAAATGTGACGTTCTAACCTTTTGGTGATTCGGGTGGGAATCTGGTTAGATTTGATATCAGCCTCGTCGTTCCCAACTCGCTTCCAACGCCTGGTTACCAAGGTAACTGCATAGATCTCCAGTCTGCCTACCCACGTTGTGAATTGATCTTAGGCAGACGAGATCAATCAGTGGTTGGGGCCGTAATGCAAACTGAGTTCAACGGGGGTGATACCACACAAATATGCATAAAAGAAAATAAAATGAAAGCTCGAAAAGTTCAAAGTATCAAAGAAAAAGGTAACAAACTTTATGTCTAGTTGGTCGATACATCGGACTGCATCTATCTATCGACCCGTTCTATGGATTGTGACACGTCGTTTTCCGTTAGGCGAGTTTTAACGCTTCAAGTTGTTTGCTCTCTAAGAAATTGGTTTTTCGGTGTGTCTTCGGACGAAAGTCGAAAAAAAATTATTTTGGTGGTCTGGATCTAAGTCGCTCTTCACAATAATTGTTCTTGGGTTGAAGAGGAGCCCGGAATTTGAGTGAATCTTGGTCAGCTATCTGCGAGGCGGCTTCAACTGGAAACTGACTCTTCGCTGCAACTCCAACTCAAACTGAAATTGGAACTGGAATTGATTTCTGCTCGTTGTGGCTTCGCTTATATGGACACCGACCAAAACCGGGGTGGGTCTGTCGGCGTCGGGGTTTCCTCGATAATTCTAAATACATATCCACCTCTCTGGTTAGGAATTTACACTTTTTTCCATTTTTGGGAGCCTTTCCTTACTCCCACCTTCTGACCATACTTCAGAAGGGCGTGAACTGCCCTCCCCACTTCTTCGTAGCAGCTTCTCATACCTATACTCTGGATGGGCCGCGACAGCCTCCTTCGTGCGTCACGTGATCACCACTCGACCAATGATGTCTTAGTCGGGCGTGGACGAATCCGCGGTTTTGTTTCAGGAAAAAAAAATATCTTGCTTAACTAAAAAATTATCTTTTCTTTTCCTCTTCTTCCTCTAGCCGAAAACGGGACAATATGAACAATGGCGGTCATAACTCTTGTTCTACACGTGGTTTTCGTCAATTATTTTATCGCCAATTATCAGAATGGGTGGTCTTCTTAACACGGCCAACGTCGCCTCGAAAAGACATTTCTAAATTCCCATTCATTTCTCTTCGGTACATATTTCTGCTAACATAATTTTATTATCGCAGGCCAAGGATGTTCCGTCGAAGGATATCGGTCAGCGGACACTCGTGGGTGGCTTTTAATTTTTCATATCTGTCCAAAGTCCTTTTAGTTGCCTGTTTTTCGTCACATCGAAATAACATTTTCATTTGAATTTTTCTTTGGCCAGTCGGTCTGTAGTTGATAATAAGATGCCTTCCCGTACCAATAGTTTGTTTTCATATCCTTAGATAACACAGCTGTCGCCAAAACATATCTGCTTCTTTCTTTCTTTCCCTTTATTTTTACTCAGAATTTCCCTGTCATTGTAATGACACCCTTTCGCCATTTGTTACTTATCAAAATATCCCATATCCATTGTCTCTTAGCCGTGTGTGTGTGTTCTGCTTATCATCCACGATTCGGTCCTTAGCCTCTCCTTTCCTTCTTTTCCTTCTTTTCTTTTTCTGCCTCGTTAAATGGTGCCACATGTGTGTTTAATTTTTTTATTGCATTTTTCAAACAGTTCAATATTCATAGTTTCGACAACAGCGGTCATCGTCAAAAATCAATTGAGTGTCTGTGTGGTTTCCGTGTTAGTATCCTTAGTCGATTAATTTGAATAAGTTTCTTTTTTTTTTATTTCGCCCCAAGCAAGACGGGAATGCCACTAATACGCAAGGGAGTGGGGGTGACAGAGTGTGAACCAGAGAGAAAAGACTAGTTATAGGAGTGAACCGATGCAAGGATAAAAGCTGATCGGGGTTCAAGCAGATAGAAGATGACGACTGACGTCGAATTTCAATTTTTAAAGATTGCAGCTATCATGGAAGCAAGGGAATGGAAGGGAGTTTCACAGGCAGGAAGTGCTAGAAAAGAAACTGTTGGAGTAGAAATCTCGGTTAGCTTTAATTAATTCAACGGTAAAAGGGTGGGGCCTAGATGCCAATCTAGAAGGACGCTTAAACCCAGGTAGAACGGGCACCAGTTAATAAAAGCTCTTCAGAGCAGAAGCCATGAAAATATTTGTAGAAAAGACAAAATGAAGCCACGTCACCTCGGTGAGAAAGCGATTGATGCCAAGTCAGGATCGATTATATTGCAGGCCCTTCTTGTATTTTGTCAAGAGCCTCTAGATGAGTACCAGACCAGTTATAGCAACAGTATTCAATGCAGGGACGAATGGTAGATTTCTAAATGTGCACGATGGACTCTGACGAGAAAAACCTTCTGACCCGACACAGTGACCGAAATTTCCTTGCAGAAGATGCACCTATTGCTTCAGTGTAGGAGTTCCACTTCAAGTCAGTTGAAAACGTGAGGCCAAGATGACGCATTGTGTTGTTCTCTATGAGTCTAGCATCAGCCATGCTGATAACGGACTGAAAAGTTTCTCCATGGTGGTTAAATGAGAGTAGTTTCCTTTTGGAGGCATTCAAATTTACGGACCATTTTCTCCCCCAGTTAACCACAAATTGGAGGTCCATTTCAAGAGTAGCTGATTCTTGAAAATGACTGTGATTGTTGAAATTACTTGAACAAAACAGTAACAAAATATGAGCTTCGAACAGTTTGTAAAAATACAATTGACAACTAAACAGACAGACCTTGTCTTTTCTTAATCAAACTTATTTGCATATATATATATATATATATATATATATATATATATATATTTTTTGTATATATATATATATATATATATATATATATATATATATATATATATATATATATACAAAAATTCAGTCGGCTTCTTGGATTGAGGGACACGTGAGACCCTCGTCGAAATGCAGTTAAGTGCCAGATGTCCGATCTATTTATTATTAAATGCATATATAAAATGTCTGTCAAAGACTCCAATGCAGTAAAAACAGATTCCTCGATGTAAAATGTAAAAACTTCAAATACAAACCAAAATATATGGAATATAAAAAAAAATAATTAACATTACGCGTGCTCACAATTTTTTTTCCACTAGTTGCAATTTCATTTACACTATTTACATTGTTCGAACTGTTGTCCTCATCTTTATTGCCACATTCACAACGTTTCGGCAGTTGTATGCTCCGGCCTTCTTCAGGTGATATTTTGGGGAATTTCGAACTGAACACAGAATAGTCAATTTGTATGTTGGTTTTTCTGACAATTGGTTCGATAACGTTTGAATAGACGTTTTTCCCATGTTTATTTTCTGAAATCTGTTGACATATAACATTCATATTCCTGGGTTGATGAGCTAAATCGCTGCGAATATGTTCCATTTTCTTCATCCACTGCTTGTAAATATCGTGACAGCGATTGGCAAAGTTCAATTTCTTTTCCCATAGTTTGTTGTTGTTAACTTGCCGTTCATAGATAAAATTTGCAATGCAAAAGTTGTCACCCTTATGTTGTTCCTTTATATGTGCAGGCTATAAATGTTTTCGAAATTGACATGCAGTCTGTACTAGTTGATTTGCAGCGCTTTAGGACTTGGTAGAAAAACGTAACGCGATGATGCCGACAACATCGTGTTCTGACGCGCGGCAACACGCGTACGCATCCGTTGATGTGTATATTTCAGCGGGCAACATTCCATCGCCCAGTAGGGTAGCCCGGAGCAACGAGGTCAGAGGTATGGTCTCTTCTCTTGGGTATTGCAAGATCGAGAAACAACGAGCCGGAGTGCGCGTTCTATGGGCAGACGGGATCAAACCTGGGGAAATCCATCTCCGGATGTTATCGCATTGTGAAGCAAGCGTCATGAATCAACGGAAGTTGTATGAGTGCTTAGAATGCTTTAAAACGGGAAAAGAAAGTGTATCGAACGAAAGTCGGTCCGATTCCCCATCAACATAGCGCCCGGAAGAACACATCCAGAGGGTGAATGCCTTGATCAGAGAAGACCGACAAATCATGTTAGCACCCCTGGTGGCAATCGTTGGCATCAGCTAGAGATATGCACAAGCCATACTGCATGGTGACTTGTGGGACTGTAAAGTTTGTGCGCGCTAGGGACCCAAACAAGTTGTTATTGCAGACGTAAACCAACCAAAAACCTCTTTTTTCTGACCGGATGAAAAAGCTTGTTGAATGATACCACAAGTGCATCGACGTGCAGAGCGATGGGCTTTGTCGAGAAGTGACATATGCATTTGATCTTTATCGATGGAAATAAATGTGTTCTGCGGAAATTGACTTTAATTTTTTAAATGAGAAAAGACGGCTTGGTGAATCTGATATTCACAGGTCCCACAGGGGGGAAAGAGAGACAAGAAAAAAGCAACGCATGACATATCTAGCCGATTTAAGTAAGTGGATGACAGAACAGGGACTGGAGGGAAGTAGCAAAGGGACAAAACTTACTGAGAACTACAAGGGATATGAGATAGTGGAGAGCCATGATCGCCCACGTCCTGAAGGGACACGACACATAAAAGAGAATATATATCAGCTTAGAAGCAGTCATGAGTGTTCAATGCTGGCATTTCTCAACTCATCCGATCACGATATCATTCCGTGCCATTTCTAACCAACAAACCTCTATATCTCATTTTTATTGATGTTGTTTGCTATTTTCCTATCGGGAAACCATTGCCAACCATTAGTGACAAATCAAGCAAGCTTTTGCTCTATTATTCGCACACATTCATTTATTTGTCGTTTAATATTCGCGTTTATATACGTGTTTTTTTTTGGTTTTTTTTGGTTTTTAAATCTGTTTTGTTACTTTCTTTGTCGTAGCTGTAAGGTAGAGCTGGCTTTGCATACTTACGATAGTCTTTAAGTTTCATTCCTAAGTTGTTTTTCCTGTATCTGTCATTACAGATTGTTTTCTTTAAATTCCCAGTGTTTTTTTTTCCTTCTTTAATGTTACTTGACTGTCCTGAAAAAGCTGTATTCCTGGACTTCTTCCAGTTTTTCGTCTTCTGCTTTTGTAATCTTTTCGAAACGTTACAATTCTATTCAGGTCATTTAACATTTCTTGTAATTCGTCTCAATGTTCTGATATGGCTAAAATATCGCCAGAAAATCATAAATGCTTCCCATACTCTCCGCTAAAGTTTGTTCCCTGTCCATTTTCAGGGATGATATTTCAAGGGATGATATTTCAAGGGATGTTCTAATTAATTTAGATTTCCTCTTTTCATAATTTTAAATTTAATTGCTTATTGTATTTGTTCGATTGCATGAAAGATTTTTCTACCCTGTATAAGGCTCAAGAACCACTCAAGAAAGAATGTTACTAAATGAGGTGTGTGATATGGCCGTAAAAAGAGGAATTAGGAAGCGATGGTTCTTAGGATATGAGGGATAAATAAAGATTGCGCCTTGAGGTTAAAATTCTAGTGTTCGGGAAAACATCCAAGACGAATCTAGCGCCCCACTAAAAGAAGTCGTCTGAGTGGAACTTCCTTCTTAGAAAACTCTACGGCCAACCGTTATCTTTTTTACATATTCTCATAATCCGTATTTCATACGCCGTTTTCCATACAATTTTTAATATCTCTCTACCCTGAGCGCCTCTTTAGTTTTATATTGAATGATCTGATTTTTTTTTGTAGTTTAACGAATTGACGACAAAGTGTTTTTCAGCCATGATAATCAAAGGCCGACTAACATATCTACCTTGGCTCATGTACTTTTATTTAGCAATTTAGAAGCCATGGTGGATTAATGGATAGCGGCTTGGATTGAGAAATCGGAGAGCCAAATTCGAATTTCAGTCGAATCCATTATAGTCACTTCCATGCTTATACCCTTGGGAAAGGTGTGAAATCTCTTCTTCTCTCCCCCCCCCCAGCAATGGGTAAATAGCAGGACAGACTGGGATCTATGGCCTTGGATGGCAACCGGTCTAGAAGGTAACTCTAAATTCAAAACCGGTTTGGAGAGGTTTGGGACTCCGTCAGGCTATCTTGCCCAAGTAACACCACTGCAGTACACGGGATAAAAAAATAACTTTTAATAATCTGCAAACCTTGATGTTTCTCACTCATAATAAATCAAATTATATCATACAGGTAAAGAAAATTCTCTTTTCTGTATGAGATGATGTCTTTCCTGACTTAAATAGAAATTATTCAGTGGCGCCAAGCATTCTAGTGAAATCTATATCACTTACCCTACCTGTCAACAGAGACGTATGTCACTACCTATTCCAGATTAACTAAACCTAGATCGTATCTAGCAATACAACCACCAGAGGGCAACACTTAATCGGATAGTCTAAGGTCACTTCATGTGGGTTTGATTCTGCTAACGAATTCTGGTCGCCCTGTCATCGTCTAATGTCCCGCGATGGTTCAAATCAGCGAAAAATCGTAATGCTATTATTGCGATTGTCTCCAAGTGTGTTGGAAAGTATGGTCGAGCAGGAAGGAAGAGACGAGCATCCGTTTCGTATTTGTCAGTAATTATAATGGCAACTATGGTCGATCAGTTATGCCGAGAGTTAATTGAAAACCTCTCGTTCTCTCGTTGTCGACTGGTGCAATCTTACGTCGCAAATGACTGGGCATTTTTCCCGCCGCTTTCCAGCAAATTAGGAATCAGTGTTCTTTTCTTTTATTTCAGGGCACTAGAGGAATCATTTAAAGGGAAATTAAATGACTAAAGTATGTGTACACGAAAGGTAGAGTATAAATATCTTGATGGCAATCGATAGAGCTATAAAAATTTGTCATTCGAAATTCAATTATTTCTGTGTATAGATATAGGTCCCCAAAGAATTCTGTTGAAGAAGCTTCAGAAAAATCGTGGGATCTTTGGCTGACATAAGAAGGCATCTCTATATGTCGGGCATGAGCGATGAACTGAAAAAGACAAACAAAAAATTAGTCTCTCTGGTTTTATCAAACTGTCAAATAGAGGGATAAAGCGATAGACAGATTGAACAGGCTGAGAGGATATATATATATATATATATATATATATATATAACTAGGCAAAGAAATACACGAGAAAGATATACAAGATAGATAGGAAAAGACTGAGATAGATGGAAATACAGATATAAACAGATAGACACGGTTATAAAGATAGATTTAGACACAGTGACATAGATAGATAGATAGATAGATAGATAGATAGATAGATAGATAGATAGATAGAGTCCAGACTGATACAAGAAAAGATAAATACGCACACACATACACACAAATATATATATATATATATATATATATATATATAAATAATATATATATATATATATATATATATATATATATATATAAAATATATAGAAAATAGGAAGGGACTGGTTTTAGGTAAATAATCCAAAGTCCCTTAGTATTTTAGTTATTATTTTAAAAATAGTGCTCGATACAAAAGTAGAGCATAAATATAAATTATTTATTTAAAAATATGATTCCAAATCGCGACATAAGAAGATGTTTCAAAACAAGGCCGAAAACTTCAATATAATTATTTAAATTATTTAAAATTAAATTGAAAATAAGCTCTATCTCCGCTTGAAACATGGAACAGAGTCGCGATTTGGAATCATATTTTTAAATAAATAATTATATATATATATATATATATATATATATATATATATATATATATATATACTAGAGTTTAAAACTTTGAAGCCAACCTCAGATTTAGCATGGAATGAACTTGAGAGTATAGTGTAAAAAATGAAAAAGAGTTCTTAGAGTCATTGAAAAAAGAATGGAATCAGTTATCAAATTTATACTTTGAGAAAGTTTGCCAACTAATGTCAAACATTTGTGTTGTTGTAATCAAGGTTAAAGGAGGATATTTTGACGAGAGCAAAATTTAATCAGAAAATTTTATTTTTATTTTTCTCATAATAACATTTCCTGTAGATGACCATGTCTCGCTATTTTTAACCAATATTTTTCTCTTATTTAAAGTACAAAACAACTAATTTTGGGACCAATTTAAAAAGTTACCAGGAGTGGCCTCATTTTGAACTGGGATACGTATGTGACACCATTTAGGGATGCAAGGAAAAGGAAGAAAAGAAGGGAAAGAAATGAAATTTTGATAATGAAAAGTGGTGAAGGGTTTTATTGTCATTGTCGAGAATTCTAAATAGATAAAAAAAATAACGGTGTCGTGGTGGCGAACTTATATTATCAGAAAAATGGCGAATCTGTTCCATCGTATCAGTGGTTGGCGCCGAGAAGTGAATGCGTCTGTTTGGACCAGCCACTTGGTTGACAAGTTCCAGATCGGCTAGCTAAACTCCGGGACAGAATAGATAAACATTTAACTGTGTCACGGGAATGCCATTTGGAGCTTCCACAGAAAACTACAGAGATAAAAATTTAATAGGTCGCCCTTTGACCACACACGAGCTGAAAAAAAAAGAAAATAGGTTAAGTCTTTGTCGATGGAAAGATATCGTTAGACAAGGTATCTGGGTTGTTTTAGAATCTGGCGGTAACAGCGAAACTATTTTATCGGAAAAGTTGTCTGTGTTTCGCTAGATGACCACCCACCTGATAATTGGCGAAAATCTGATTAACGAAGTCCAGATGAAAGTGACTTTGGGATAGGAATTGAGGTTATCACACTACGGGTCGTATTGTTCTGTTGGCGGCCAGAGAAGAAGAGAGAATAGAAAAGAAAAGAAAGAAAGGAAATAGAAAAAAGAAAAAGAGGAGATAATTCTTTTTTTCTTTGAGCAAGATATTTTCTTTAAGAAACAAGGCTAGTCTGGTCACACCCACACTGTTGATCACTGTTGATCGCCCAATGGATGAATGTTAACGAGAGCCAGGCGGAGGTGATCATGTGATGCAGGGGGAGGCCTGTTACCACTCATTAAAGAGGATAGGTATGAGATGTTACTGCGAAGAAGTAGGAAAAATGGTTGACGCCCTCTGAGGGTATGGTAAGAGAAGACTTCCAAAAATGGAAATAATAAATTTTTCCTGACCGAAAACAAAAAAAAGGGATTGTGGATTTGAAATTGTCAGAGAACCTCAAACCCGGACAAGGCCCAACCCCTATTTTTGTCGGCGTCCATATAAGCAAAGTCGCAGCGAGCGAAAATCAGTTAGATTCGGCAGTTCCAGATCCAGATCCGGTTGGAGTTTGCAATTGGCAGAGCCTCGCAGAGCTGACTTGAAAGATTCGCGCAACTTCCGAACTCATCTTCAATCCAAGAACAATTTATTTTTGAAGAGCGACTTAGATTTATACAACCAAAACAAGTTTTACGACTATCGCCGGAAGACACACCAAGAACCAGTTTCTTAAAGAACAGACAACTTAAGATGTTAAAACTCGCCTAACAAAAACAACGTGTCACGAATCCATATAACGGGTCGGGAGATAGACGCAGTCTTATGTATCCAGCAACCAGATATAAAGTATTGTTATCCTTTTTTTTTTTTGATACCTTTGAACTTTTGAGTTATTATTTTATTTTCTTTTACACATATTTGTGTGATACCACCCTTAATCGAACTCAACTATCATTACGGCCCCGACGACTGATTGATTTCGTCTGCCTAAGATCAATTCACAACGTGGGTAGACAGACTGGAGATCAAAGCAGTTACGTCGGTAACCAGGCGTTGGAAGCGAGTTGGGAACGCCGAGGCTGATATCGAATCTATCCAGATTCCCATCCGAATCACCAAAAGGTTAGAACGTCACATTTGGGTGCCGCGACCAATACCAAGCCAGTTGGTCGTCACAGGACGGGATAGTACGACTTACGCAGACAGGCGGACGTCACGTTTGGAGCGGCGACACCCGAACGAAGCAGCGAGGAACGAGCAAGGCTGGGGGACGGCACACGTATGAATCCTCTTCTTCTCCGTCCAGTTATGGCTAAAATAGCAGGACAGACTGGGTTCTATAGCCTTGGATGTCAACTGGTCTAGGAGAAGGACAACTCTGAATTCAAAATCTGCGGAGGGTCGTTTTGGGGACCTTGTGGCCCTTAGTGCACCAGGTTTCTGAATTCGGCCCTTCAAAAAGTGTGGATGGTCCTGCACGAAATCTTCACCATTATAATTAAATCTCATGTGCCGGAGTCGGGCTGTCGGTTTTTTGAGAACTGATCTGCTTGACCCTCATACGTCGAATACGACGGGAGAGTCGAGTATACACACACACATATATATATATATATATATATATATATATATATATATAAATAAAACAGACCACTTTAAGGTTCCATGTAAATAATTATTTCACCACAGCCCTTTTAAAAAGAATCTGGATCATCAGACTTTTACTTCCAAAGCTTTGGAAGTAAAGTCTGATGATCAGAAACCCTTTATAATAATTTATTACATGGAACCTTAAAGTGGTCTGTTTTTATTCAAACATATTTGCTCTAATTTACATTGAGCTCTCCTAGTTTACATAAACTATATATATATATATATATATATATATATATATATATATATTATATTTACATAGCGCACGCCAATTGGATTATGAGTTTGTTGGGTTTTACATATATATTTGAGCGCACATAATAATTTACATATATAATATACAAATTATATATATATATATATACATATACACATATATAATATACATAATTATATATATATATATACATATATACATATATATACATATACATATATATATACATATATATATATATACATATATATATATATATATACATATATATATATATATATATATACATATATATATATATATATATATATATATATATATATATATATATATACATATATATATATATATATATATATATATATATATATATATATATATATATATATATATATATATATATATATATATATATATATATACATATATATATATATACATATATATATATATATATATATATACATATATATATATATATATATATATACATATATATATATATATATATATATACATATATATATATATATATATATATATACATATATATATATATATATATATATATATATATATATACATATATATATATATATATATATATACATATATATATATATATATATATATATATATATATATATATATATATATATATATATATATATATATATATATATATATATATATATATATATATATATATATATATATATATATATATATATATATATATATATATATATATATATATATATATATACATATATATATATATATATATATATATATATATATATATATATATATACATATATATATATATATATATATATATATTACATGAATCATTCATACAAAAAACAAATATTGAAGTTAATGATATAAATGGCGAGAATACATCTTTTCGCAAACAAATTTAATAAATTACATTAACCCCGAACCTGTAGATGAATGTTATGATCCATGTTTATAAATTCCAGTTGCATAAGGTCTTTTTTATTTTTTTGCATGCTTTCATCTGTGCATACAGACATCATCAGGTCTTGAAATAGATTTGTTTTTTACATCCCGGTAATAACAGGACAACGAAAGAAAAGATGTAATCTGAAATATGTTTTTAAAAAGGTGTTATTGTTAATTGTAAGAATTTTGGAGCGGCTACATTAATGCGATGGGAATCTGATTGAAACCTATGCCATTGGATATTCTTCTTTGCATTTTATCAAAGATGACTAAATATATAGCAGAAACACCAGATAATATTTGGCAGCAATATTCAAAGCATGGACGAATTGCATACTTATAAATATGTAAGATAGATTCGGGTGAACATATGTTATTTATTTATTTGGGATCTTCAGACCGTAATTACCAGGATGTGAGAAATAGGTGTATGAAATAGACGAGAGGAAAGCCAACAGCTGTGAGAGGATAGACATCTTTTTTTCGGGTCCGATGGTAGGAAAATGTACAGGACGTCCCCCAAAAACGGGAACTTTTTAACAATCCAATAAAACCAAGAGTGATGGAAGAAAAATATTTTATTATTAATTTTTTTATTTAAAAAAAAATCCGAGATTAGGCGCACATACACATACATACGCTAGCATTGTTTATATGGGTGCGTTTGTGTGAACTAAAATGCGTGCACCTGTATGTATGTATGTCTGAGACTGTCATCCCAATCCCAAACAGTCACAGAGATGAATTCTCCCCTCATGCCACCGAACATGATCA